ATCTTAAGTTGCTCAAGGTCATCATACACACCAATATTTAGGCGATTCCGACAAACTTCGCCACAGACATCTATTCAAAATACATTTTTGAAAATTTGCAACCTGTTGCTAGAGGGCGCTCGAAAGTTAAATGACGTCATTGGTAGATGATTTCAAGAATACTACTAGCCAAGAGGCTAACACCGTTGAAAGCAAGTTCATATCTATTACCACTTTTAAATAATAAGCCACTTCCGGTTTTGGCCTTTTTCGACCGGAAGCAAGGGTCACGTGATTTCACGCACACTGAAAGAAATAAAGACCTCGACCTACTCTACCACTTGCCGGCAACAGAATGCTGCGGACGCGTACGGTTGATTTCTTATGCATTTTTAAATATCAAAAGTGTCACAATTTAATTGCCAATAAATAAACACCTGATGACGTCATCATGACGTCATCATTACACAATGTCGTTTGAATTAGGGTCTTTGCTTTAACAAAGTTTGGTGTAAATGAATTACTGGCAAAGAGTCAAAAATGTCCTTTGAAAACCGACATTTTTTTTTTTAATTTTGTGTACAAAGTCTATGGGAAAAATTAAATATTCAAAAATCTATTATAAATTAGTCGATGACGTCATCACGACGTCACTCTTCCGGGCACATCTCTGCTATAAGGACTATGACTATGCTAACTTTGAATGGTGTATGACAAAGATTAATGCCAAAAGTGGCACTGAGAAAAAACGTGTACAAAGTCTATGGGATTTTGGCGACAAAAAGAAGAAGAAGAAGAAGAAGAAGAAGAAGATAGAAAAAAAATGAGAACAAAAAGAAAGGCTTTTCCGCTTTTTAGCGGAAAAGCCAAAAAAAAAAAAAAAAAAAAACTAGAGATCTATGTCTGTTTGCAACAGAACATAGGGCTTTTCCGCATTATGATTTTTTTTAATCAATAATACGTCTCTGACTATGCATGAACATAAAGTCTGTCAAAGTTAGCCGAAAATCGGCTAAAACAGTCACTGTGATCAGCATTTGAACTCAGCAACACGTGCCCTGCGGGCTTACTGACATACGATGTATGTGCGTATGTATGGTGGCCCTGAAGGGACATCGCATATGTGCGAATATTTGCGCACACGTATGCGTTGTTGCGAAATTTATCGCGAATATGTGCGCACACGTATGCGATGTCGCAAAATTTATCGCGAATATGTGCGCACACGTATGCGATGTCGTGAAACAATTCGCGAATATGTGCGCACACGTATGCGAATTTGTTTGCAATGTCGTGAATTTTATTGCATACCTTGTCGCATACCTTTCAGTGAAATTCCTAATGAACTGGGGAGTTGTAGCAGCTAGTCTGGAATTTAGACGTACTGTTAGATATAAATAGGGTCTGACTAATAAACCTTCGCGCGCATGCTGTTCCTCGTGCAATCGTTACTACTAGTACTGTCGAGCGCAAACTTGCTACTTGCGCAAGTTTGAAACTTGCGCGCGCACATTTCAAAGTTGCGCAAGTAGCAAGTTTGCACCTCCTCAATTTTGTTTACCAAAGAGCACCAAGGAATGGGAAATTGTACCAAGGCAAATGATCGAAAGCACCAAGGCAAATTATGGAGGACACCAATGTACATGAGGACACCAAAAAAGCATAATAGTACCCCACCTTGTCTGTACAATCAAAGCTTAAAGAGAAAAACAAAAGCAAAAAAAACAAAAATAAGCCGTGTGGCCGCGTCAATTCCGGAACCTTGGTCTGACCAGAGACCGAATATTTTTTTGGGGGGGCCTAAGATATATCAGTTTTGTATAAGGAAAGACTTGTGGAGAAAGCTGTGTACAAAGTCTATGAGAAAAATTAATTATTCATAAATCCATAATAAATCACTTGATGACGTCACCATGACCTCACTCTTCGGGACACATCTTGGCTACAGGAACTATGCTTATGCCAACTTTCAATGATATCTGGCAAAGATTAATGCCAAAAGTGCTATAATACGTTACTGTCTATGCGCATGCATGAACATAAAATCTGTCAAAGTTAGCCGAAAATCGGCTAAAACGGTCACTGTGGACAGGATTTGACCTCAGCAACACGTGCGCTGCAGGCTGACTGACATACGATGTATGTGCCTATGTACATGTACAACGTACGTGCATGTACATGTACATGTACATTGTGGACGTCCTGTCCTGTGCATGTTTTGAAGCAGAGGTATTGTCAACGTGAAGTTTTAAGCGTGCGCAGGGTATGTTCGAGTTCGCTTATTGCCTCGAAACTTTAACATGTTTTAGACCTACCCTTCAATCAACAATTAAAGTAAAAACTAATATAAAAACTGCCATGGTTGATTTTTCAGGAATTTTCAAATGAAAAAGGGTCTTTTCATTATAACTTCCGGTCTGATGACGTCATTCGCCTAAAACTTCGCACACGTCTTAAGGTGGTCAAGGTCATTATATACACCAATATTTAGGCGATTCCGACAAACTTCGCCACAGACATCTATTCAAAATACATTTTTGCTAATTTTCAACCTGTCGCTTGAGGGCGCTCGAAGATTGCATGACGTCATCGGTAGATGATTTGAAGAATACTATCAGCCAAGAGACTAACACCGTTAAAAGCAAGTTCATATCTATTACCACTTTTAAATAATAACCCACTTCCGGTTTGGGCCTTTTTCGACCGGAAGCAAGGGTCACGTGATTGCACGCACACTAAATGAAATAAAGACCTCAACCTACTCTACCACTTGCCGGCAACAGAATGCTGCGGACGCGTACGGTTGATTTCTTATGCATTTTTAAATATTAAAAGTGTCACAATTTAATTGCCTATAAATAAACACATGATGACGTCATCATGACGTCATCATTCCACAATGTTGTTTGAATTAGGGTCTTTGCTTGGACAAAGAGTGGTGTAAATGAATAACTGGCAAAGAGTCGAAAATGCCCTTTGAAAAGCGACAATTTTTTTTAAATTTCTGTGTACAAAGTCTATGGGAAAAATTAATTATTCAAAAATCCATAATAAATCACTTGATGACGTCACCATGACGTCACTCTTCGGGGCACATCTATGCTATAAGGACTAAGCCTATGCTGACTTTGAACGATGTATGACAAAGATGAATGGCAAAAGTGTGGGGCAGAAGAAACGTGTACAATGTCTATGGGATTTGCCGGGGAATAAAAAGAAGAAGCAAGAAAAAAAATGAGAACAAAAAGAAAGGCTTTTCCGCAACTATGCGGAAAAGCCAAAAATCTTAACGAAAACAATAGCTGTTTCGGTGTGTCACCGAAACAGCTAACTAGACGGACGTTGTGTTTAATGTGACATCACTTCCAACGAGTTGACATTATGATGTCGGTTGAATTTTAATCTATACCACACCCCAATTTCGGTACATATCAAGTAACAACCAAATCAGATGGAAATCCACCATTTTAACAACACATCATGCGACATGTAATCAAATCACGGATATATCGCAGAAAAAAAGGCACCACCAAAATTGGACCTATTGTTCTATAGCTATACGTCTCAGACATACCCCCTTTAATGTGACCTCAGATGATATGTAACGATGTCATAACGTCATCTTGACCTATATTCTGGTATACAGTGTACAGTATAGCTAATCCAAGTTTGTGTGAATATAAAGGTTTCAACCAAATCGTAAGCATACATCTGGAGCCATGGGGATGGAAATGATGCAAAGTCAGGGTGCCCTCACATGACAGCAAATAAAGTCACTATGATTTCACCTATATTATCAAATATAACAGATCCCAATATCAACCCTATGAAGAAAAGAACGTGTACAAACCCTATGGAGAAAAGAACGTGTACAAACCCTATGGAGAAAAGAACGTGTACAAACCCTATGGACAAAAAAATCCCCTTTAATGTTACGTAACTTGACACCTGATGACGTCATGATGACAATATTCTTCTAGGACCCTCTCTGGATGATTGTCTAAGTATGTACCAAGTCTGAAGTCGATCAGATTTACAAAAGTGCCAAAGTGGCATGGTAGAAGGAAAATGTGTACAAACCCTATGGGCGAATGGACTGAAAAAGAAACTAGAAATGTGTTTGTGGACAAACACAAGCTGTTTCGGATATTCGAAATACTCTGTGCACGTGATAAACAATCAGTGACGTCACTAAAAATGTCATCTATAACAGCACATTATACGTACATGTCAAGTTATAACCAAATCGAACATATAGGTCTGTAAATATGGGCCTATAAAGAACAAAATGCCCCTTTAAGGGACGTCACATGACATTTGATGATGACATCACATGAATTTTCATCTATAACCCATCTCGGCATTGGTACGATCACGAATTTCTTGAGGACCATCTGTGGGTGGTAGTCTAAGTGTGTACCAGGTCTAACATCGATCGCGTAATTTACAAAAAGGCCAAAGTGGAGCTTTTTAAAACGTGTACAAAATCTATGGGGAAAATGTGCATTTTTAATGTGAAGTGATCTGAGACCTGATGACGTCACGATCATGATTTTTTTAAGGATTATCTGTGGGTGATGGTCTAAGTGTGTACCAAGCGTAACGTCGATCGGATTAAGGAAAGTGCCGAAATGGAGCGTTTTAAACATGTACAAACCCTATGTGGAAAATATTTACTTTAATGTGACGTAACCTGTCACTTGATGACGTCATGATCACGAATTTTGTCTAGGACCATCTGTGGGTGGTGGTTTAAGTATGACTTAAATATTCAGTCGATCGGATTGGAATTGTTGGAAAGGGCTGGATGTTTTAGTAAGATTGGTGAATTTTGTTTTGTTGGGTAGGATGTATCCCATCAGAGACAAAATGAAGTGAAGAAAAGCGGGTTTAATAGAAAGGACAATCATATGGGAATAATGTTTACTTAATGAATAGCATTATAAAAACAGACCGCTGTAGGATGTTAGTGAAGTGTTTCGAAGTTAAAGAATAAGATCGAGTCAAAGAATACGAATGATTGAAAGTCACAATCCCGTCAACAGGATTGTTTTTTCTTTTATTAGGCATGTAGGCTAATGTGCCAGAAAAGGTAAAATGAAATGTTAAAGATATCATAGGTTGTATTATATATGGTAGCGTCTAAAAGGATACACTTTTTCATATACTATATACATTTTTTTTTCAAAATAAGCCAGTTGAGCATTTCAATGATCCCAGGTCATTTGGGGTTATATAGCTGATGTGATATTACATGTACATGAGTTAACTATAGTGCTGTGTAAATGGTCATTTCACTGATTTGTCTTTGGTGCTTTTGGGTATTAAACAAAAAAATCCGAACTATTGGAGAAACTGCTGGGATAATAGTTGCAAGAGGTATCGTTAAGTGTGTTTCTTGTTTTACTTATGAAGTTGTATACAGTAACGACCTTTTGGTTGTTTAAGGTAAGAACTAGGAATGTTTGGTCAAGTCTGTTTAGTCAGGATATATCGAAAATATGACCAATATGTTGTATGTAGTTATGTAAATTTAAAAAATAATATGAAGATTGTTCTCCATTTATGACTAGTACAAGTACCACTGGTCTAAACCAAATAAGCAAGTTCTAAAGCTGTATACATGTATGGTAGCGATGTCTAGCTTACTGAAGATGAGAAGTAAATAATCTTAATGATACAAAAGTGAGTATGTGTATATATAAGATGTTGTACATTAGTAATATTGAAAACAATATGAACAGTAAGTAATCGCCCGAAATGGGTTGTAATGTGTTAGTATAAAATCTAAATACATGTCTAAAGATGTTTTAAAAATACTGCATTAATATGTACAAGTCGTCAACTTGGAGACTAAGCAAGTTTTTTTTTAATGTTATGTTTCTAGTTTTCTTTGATGTATTATTTTCATACATATAAATCATAGATGATTAAACACTTTTAATTTCTGAAGAAATGCTGATCATCAAGCTGTGCTGTAATGATTTCGTGAGGAATTCTGTGCCGGGGTGTTTCATTATTAAAGGGAATGTACATCATTGGATTTTGCTGTAATTTTCAGAAATGAACTATTTGAGGGTTGGGTGAGCGTTATAGATCTAATGTTGTTTCACTGATATATAAGAAGATTTGTGTTGAAAAGTGACAAGGAAAAATAGTAATAGTCAAGCAGTCAAATTGTCTGACTCCACTAAAGATGAAATGGAGCAATTTATAGGTTGGGGTAATAGTAAGGTAAGGGAACCAGTGTAGCTGCTTTGCACCTGTTCATAATGTGTAACCAATAGCGAACGAAATTTGGACTGAAAATATTGTAAATTTGGGGCTGAAGTTTAATAATACATGTAGTTAGGTTTTTTCCAACCAAGGTAAGCTGACTACTGTTTGAAATGTATATGAAATATCATATTTCTTGTAAATGTTTCGATACCAGGTGCCATAATTTTTCTGGGTACTTAAAACTGTTATTTATCAACATCTTTGTAAGGTATTTTGTAAATATTAGATTGTTTTGTTTGTTGATGTGTGTACATGTGTATATTCCATTTATATCAATTATTTCCAAATTGTTGTTTTGTCCTTGGAATTATTGCTTTGTAATGCATGTTATTTAAAGTTTCATTTGATATCAGTCATGCACATTGCACAATTATCAATTGAGTGAAGAGCATTTGTGGACAGCGTGATAAAGTTGTTATGCTAACTTCATTGAATTTATGTGAGGTGGTAACTTGAGACGATTTTTTTAGTTGTGAAAAGTGTTGCAGTTGGTATTGGAATTATTCTCATGGCTATTAGTTATCATGGGAAGACATCAGTTTAATACTTAAGAGCAAAATTATAGCAATTGGAAATCATGTCTATCTCTTTTTTGAACAAGGAAGGTTGTATACAATTTCATTAATTGACAATTGTGCAGTGATGCATGACTGTAATTAAATGGGTTTGATAGGGGTTGAGGATAAGGCCGGTGTATTTATATAACCATGGATCCTCTACACAAGAATGAATGAGTCATCTGAGCTTTTGCATGAGACTTGATGTGTGTGCCATACATGAAACCCAATCATGGGAGTTTTGATAGAAATTTTACTACAGAATTGTTGTGCAGACTGCAGTCTTGTGCAAGTGCATTGCATGTTTTATATTTGCTCATGTCATTATCTTATCTCTAACCAGAATTTTTGGAAATCATTTGTCCATGAGTAGAGGATCCATGGTAGGATGAAACACAGTCATTGTTTGTTTAAAATGAAATTACATGTAGACATGTTTGAATGGGAACATGATAATTAGACTGGTTCTTTGACTTTACATTTTTTGGTGCATATAAATTGTTGTTTTTCATTGAAAGTGGGGTCACAAAATATTATTGTATGTTAACAATGATTGGTTTTCTTGGTTTGTGTTGAATCAACATTTTAAATAAATGAGCAAAAAATATCTTCTATGAAATGTGTACTTCTGACATCAATCTATTTCTGAAAATTACAGCAAGTGTAAATGTGGTAAATGTATAAACTCGTATAAACTCCTATCTGCACGTTTACTTTAGCAAAGGCAGCATTTTCATTGATTTTTGTTTGGTGGTTTTGGGTATTTACCATAAAAGTCAACCTTTGGTGAAACTGCTAGGATGATATTTGGGAAGTGGCACCATTTGGTGTGTTTCTGCAACGATTTCTTGGTTGTTCAAGGTAAGTAGTAGGAATGTTTGGTTAAGGCTGCCTAGTCAGGTTTATCAAACATTTTACCGATGTTGTATGCAATTTTGTTTAATTTGAAAATAATATGAAGATTGTTCTTCATTTATGATTAGTACAAGTACATCTGGTCGAAAGAAAATGAGCAAGTTCTAAAGCTGTATACATGTGAAGTAGCGATGTCTAGCTTACTAAAGATGAGAAGTAAATAATCTTAATGATACAAAAGTGACTACAGTATATGCATATAACATGATGTTCGTAAGTAATATAGGAAAACAATAAGAACTGTAACAAAATGCTCCTAATTGGTTATAATTGAGCACAACTTTTTGTGTTAGTATAAAATCTCAATATATGTTTAAAGATGTATAAATAATACTCTAAAAAATATGTACAAGTCCTCAACTTGAAGACTAAGCATTTTTTTTTTAAATGCTATGTTTCTAGTTTTTCCTTGATGTACATGTTTTATTGAAACGTCATGGATGATCAAACTTTTCTAATTTATGAAGGGAATGCTCACACAGCTCTGGTTTGATGATTTAGTGAGGAATGGATGGCAAGTAGCTTCTTTGAAAGGCTGGATCTAACATATAAAAGAAAGAAAAAACCGAAAAGAAAATTAGAACATATGTAATTAATAGTTAATATGGGAAAGAATATTTGCTGAGATTGTTAATAATACTACTACTAATAATAATAACAGGTTCATATATACATGTTTAGCACTTTTAACTAAGATTAAAGCGCTTTACATTATTATTACCCCTAATCATTGCGCCAATTAAACATTCCTTATACCATCTCAGTTTTCTGGGTTGTATGCAGCTCGATGCAGCCTGTTAGGCGCAAGGAAGCTAATTCATCACAATAATCAGATCTGCCTTAATAGGTACGCATTTACTCCTCGGTGGGGAGAAGCAATGAGTGACCAAATGCCTTGCCAAGGTCAATGTATCTTTTGCTTCATATTTGTTTTCAGATTCTTTGAATGGTACTGTAGTGAGACCTAGCAGTATTTTTGAAAGCTGATCATGAATCCTGATTTTCTTAAGAATTATTCATGTAGGTATGTATGTTATATCACGGTTGTTGCTAAGGTTGCTAAAATGACTGTTTCTAGTAGGTTGTATGAGCATCTCAACTATAGCAGCTTGAATGAGTCATTTCAAATTTCAAAAACGCATGTTTCTTGGCGTATTCTTTAGTGCTATTTTGAATATGTCTTATTAAGACACTATCTGTTTCCATTATTTTTTCGAAACTTTTGTAACCCTACAATACAACATGAATCTGGATAAGAAATATGTGGAAATGTTACAAACCATTGTCCAATCTCATGGAATGTTTTACTGGTATGGCTTTGCATGTTTACATCTCGGCATCTGTATTGCTGTGGATCGAAGGGAAAAGGAAACATTAGTTATTAAATTTTGTTTTGAAATCACTGTGTAGCTGGAATATTTGTGTATGGAATATATGATGTACATGTATTTGTGTGCAATTATAGTATTATACTGTATTGCTTTGCTATGTGTGCTGTTCACTGAGCTCTCAAAAGTACCACAAATAGAAGTTGTTTTGTTGGTGCATGTAACGCATTGGCAGCAAGGGAAATCTGTTATGTATGGGGTTAGGTTATGGGTCATTCCTCCGGGTTGGGAAATGTAGATCTTAAAGCGGAATATTTTGTTTTATAATTAAAAATTACAATGTATTATTATTAGCATGCTTTGCAGGGCTGATATAATTATGTTAATAACCCATCCAGGTAATGCGATGTTGGGGTCGCTATGTTATGTATGCATGGGTGCATTGCGATAGATATTATGGAACAACACATATCACAACTTTCATGCGAGTATGATGTTTTTTAGCTATCAAAATACACCAGAATTGTAGATGGATTTTGAAGACTCTATGGGAAAACGTGCTGGTGTTTTTTATCCCACTATTGTATCCTGAATCAGCCAGAAATTATCGAGACGTTTGCTGGTGGACTGTGGCGGATTCAGGATATCTTCAGTGTGTATTCTGGATTTTTTTATGAACTTAGGATATGGGCTTTGTTTGCTCGACAAAATTGCTGGTTTTTGACAGACTCAGGATAATTTTTAGTTGAAGAGCCTCTGCAGGTTGGGTTAATACAGTGGAATGCTCCTGGTTTTAATGTACAAATCATAGTAAACATTGTTGTTGGGAAAAACTCTGCTGGGTGTTATAACTATTTGGGCTATTTATATTTGTGAACATCTAATAACCCATAGTCATATCGTGTTTGAATGTTGATGACTGATAGATAACTGTTTTTTTCTCAAGGAATTAAATGGTTAACCACCTTTGCTAAAGTTTCATGACTAGTCCTTGTGCAATTGGGGATGTGGGTATTGCAAAAGAAGGTATATTGGCAGTTCAACATTGTTATACGAAATGATCATTGTTTCGAACACTTTCTGTGGATTTAATGATGTTTGTAATTGTGGGCTTCCACTGGGATGAATAATAATACTTACGGCATGATGGAGACAACTGTTTTAGTGGCAAGTTCTAGAGTTATGATGCAGGAGAGAGGAAGTCTGTCTTGGAAGTTGGGAAGATCGTCTTCTGCAAGTGCTTCCAGTTTTGCAAGAGTGATGTTCATTGTGATGTCGTTGTCAGTAATTATTTGAGCTGGGTCACTGTAGAACAAATTATCATATTATTAATAGATTCAGGTACAGTGTTTTAGTTTGTACATGTAAAGGTTTTGAGCAGAAACTATTTGAATTGAATAAGTTTAATTTGGATTGAAAACAGTATATTTTTGGGTAATTGAATTTTTGGAAATGTTGTGCAAGGTTCAAGGGAAGTAATGTTGTGGTATTTGATATGTTTTCTTTTTAAGAAGGATTTTATGTTAATGTTGACGTATGGAGGGGGGGGGGGGGGAGAGAGAGAGAGAGAGAGAAGAGGATCTCATTGATCAGTACTATGGCTTATTACCAGAGTGTAATATAAGACATGAAAGGTATGGTTTATATTTGACAATTTATGGCAAACATTTTTACCACTTTTTTTGTCATGCAAGTTAGGGAATATATTGTAAGATCTTGAAATTGGACATGGTTATTTTAAAAAGTCACCTTTACCCTACAAAAATACTTGTGCAATATGTCTGGCATGTTGTTAGTTGTTTAAAAGGATAGTGTCCTTAAGAAAATTGTACAATTTCCATTGTTTTAGCAATAGTGACATTGACATTCAACTTGTGGGCCTTGAATTAAATAAATTACTGTAGTTGTGAAACTACTGAAAATGTGTGCTACATAATAGGATTTTTTAGAACTTTAAAAAAATTAAACCAATACTAATTAATTTTAAAATGATCTTACCCATCGGCGTCAAATCCTGTGATCTCATAAACTTTTGTGTCTACTGGAGTGTCAATTTCCTGTTGAGATATAAATGAAATTTTGTTGAGGACATTTTGAAGAAATATGAACTACTACTTTCATTAACAAGTTTGAATGTGCCAATATACTAATTGCAATAAGAAAAGTTTTTTATGTTACTGGGGGAAAATGCTGTGACTTGCAGTTTCTTTAGTTGCATTTCAATTTTTCTATTTTCATGTATTAAGTTGTGAACAAAATGAAGCTTTTTGTTCAGAATTCTTATCAAATGTTTGCTGTCTGTGTTTAATTTACGTGCAAAGTTGTCGGAATCATTCAAAATATTAACTACAGTGATTTTTTTTTCTACAATATTTACAAATGTAGTTTATTTTAATAATGCATGGCAAGAGCTCCTGATTATTTTTTAACTGCTGCTCCAATTTTTCTCATTTTTTAGTCCAAATTTTGTTTTCTATTGGTTACATGTTCATGAACGGGCATTGGCCAGCTAGGTTGGTTTTTTTTTTAAATTTTTTTTCAGGCATTTATTAATTGATCCATCCTATCTTTAGTGAAGTCCAGGAATTAAAATACTTGAACATTTTTGGTTTCTTTGGTTTTTGCAGTATTTTTGAACACAAAATCTTTAAAATGTCAGTGTAACAATATTTGATCTATTACACTAACTTTTCAAATATTTTTTTTCTAAAAATTACAGCAAAAGCCAATGATGTTCAACCCTTTTAACTGTCACACATCATGTCATTATATTTGGATTATTGAATTTTTTGAAAAACCAATAGCCTGTACAATGTTGTTTCTGTATTTTTACCTGTGTTAAGAATTCGTAAATTGTTTAAGGTTTAAGCAAATTAACTTCATGTAAATTAGGCCAATGGCCCGCGATCGTCCTGCATAGTCCCCTTTTGTTGCAACGAACTTTTGGTCCCGCATTGGGACTCCGCGCTGGAGTCAAACCCACATTCCTTACCAGTGGAATGGACATTGGAATTCCCTGCCGGACTTAAAAGCTCTGGAATTTCGCCGTTCTGGAGATTCTGAACTGCAGTTTGCTGAGGTGTGGTCAAGGGACTCGCTCTCCGGCGATGCCATGCTGCCCGACCGTCTGGCTTGCTGAGGCCGCTGACTTGGCCGTGCCTTGCCCGTTGCCGTCTGCACGGGGCACGGTCCGTACCACCACGACGGCCAGATTGACCGCTGACTTGGTTATCCTTGGCTTGGGCCAGTGTCTTGGTACCGTTCCCGCCGGTGCCACGCCCCTCTGCTATGGCACTTCGTCTACTGGTCAGCTAGCACAATCGTTCCCCTGATCCGGTCTACACCCGTACCGTCCATCACACCAAGCGCCCGGTTTCGGAGGTCGCCGATCAAGACGCAAGTCGTTATGAAAAGAACTCTCTCTCGCGACTTCCGAACTTTTCCGGCAGACTGCAGTCCAGGGTTCCACCCTCTGGAGGTACCTCCCCTCTCACCAATGGCCAACCGTATGATATGATTTACTTGATTTGTAATGTATAATTAATTGCTTTCCCATCTGCTTATTTAATCTTGTTTATGTGTGTTAATTTGTGGATTGTAAATAATTAAAATAATTCTAATTTCATTTCCAAAAACTCCTTGATTCCGATCCTCATTCATTTGAGTGTTCCTTTCCCTTTATTTAAATTTTTGTCTGTTATGTTGTCTGCTTGGATTTGAAGTGACTTCGTAACACCTGGATCAAAGATTCGGGAGTTGTGTTGACACTCGTCACATTTTCGTACATTGAGACTTCAACGTTTGTGATCCGTACCATTGATCCTTCTGTAATGTCTTTATCTGTATGTGGTCCCCACAATTTGCAACGAATGGATGTTGTGGTGAGTGGATCGATGAGTTGCACTTCCTTACGCCTCCACATATCACCCAATTTTGTTGGTGACACCTGTTAACAAGAATATTGTACAGTTTGATGTTACTTAATGTCATGAAATACAAATTGTTTGTTTTTGAAGGGATGCTATTATTGTAGTTGTTCATGAAGGGAATGATATGAAGTGTATTGTAATAGAGGTTGATAAGTAAATGAAGGTTAGGGGTACATGTATGTTTACCTGAGGTGTATGTTAGTAATAAATCTGTAAGTACTATTGAAAGATTATGTTGCGATGTTGTGATTTGGGTGCTAAAGACTAAGTTACATGTATGTCATTAAAGTGAGACAAGTTTGATATTGTAACGAAATTGGCCTGAGTGCTTGTAGCTTTCGCGCGTCATAGCGCTGAGGCGTGCCATACTTGCTGAACATGCGCAGTGGGCTGCTTAGGTGACCTTGAGCTGTTTGCGCGCGCTGTGCCTCGTGTGTGTACGTGGCGAGAGTTGCTGTGGAGCTAGCGGACTGAAGAGACGTGTGACGGCGGAGCTCTAAGAGAGTTGTTGTAGGGCGCTAGGCTTGTGTGCGTCAGCGTTGCTGTTGGTGTGTAGTGGGAGCTGGTAGCAGCGAGGCGGAGCGGTATAGCGACCGACCGCCGGATCCCAGAGCAGCGTGAGAGAGGCTGATCGGAGTGTCCGAGACAGCGGGACTGTCGGAGCCGTGTCAGAGAGTCCGTGGCGGCGGCGGTTTGCCGAATCTAGTTGCAGCAGCTCATAGCGCGGGGTATGTCAAGCTGACGTATTTGATAAAGTTAGTGACGAGCACAGTTCAGGACCGATATTGTTGAACCTCCCCACAAGTTATCACATTCAGTAATAATTTCTATTAAGTGCCTTCAGTAATAAACCTCTCTATCAGTAATTCTAAGGCTCAGTAGGAAACTCGATTATATCCCTTAAGGATACAGGAAACCCTTAAGGAACCTCAAGGCTATACCTTAAGGAACAGCAATCCCTTAAGGAATCTGCAACTTAACTGAAGTGATTAAGGCGTCTTAGTTATAATAAAGGGAAAACCCCGCGGCTCTTGAGTGATCTCTCTTTGTCAGATTATTGGGTTCCTGCGCTGCTCTGCCTGGTATTTATCTCCGCTCCATAGGGTCCCCGGGAAAAAGTGTTGCGCGCGGCGATATATGGTTGCCAAACGACCTCCCCCACAGTGCTGTAGGGCTGCCGCTCGCCTGTGCAGTACCGAGTCAAACTTGACCCGGACGGGATTCGCCACATTGGTGTCAGAAGTGGGATAAGGCGTGACACTTTCAGGAGACTGCATCTGCAGTGATGGATTATAAATGGATGGAGGAGGAGCTGGACGTTCTGAGGATGGAGGCACACCAGGCCGAAAACATGTACGAGGATGCACTCAAGGAAAAACGGGAACTTGAGGAACAAGTAAAGAAAATGAAATCAATCATCGAGGATAAGGAAATAAGCCGGACTGAAACACCGGAACTGTTCACCCCAACTCCTGCTGTCTCAAGCACTTTAAGTTCAATACTAGGGATACCAGGCACACCTGCAAACACTAGACAAACGGAGGAGACATCCTTGGTAACCGCGAAGGAAACTAAGAAAAGTGAGGACAGAATTAGGAGACCGAATATTTGTCCTGACCGGTTCAGTGGAAAAGTGCCATGGAAGGACTATAAGGCACATTTTCAAGCTTGTTGCGTAGCAAATGGATGGAAGGACAGCCAGGCTGCTGTATTCTTAGCGGCCAGCCTTCAGGGACAGGCGTTGAAGGTGCTGGGATGCCAACCAGAGGGGAAGGAACTTTCACTTAAGGATCTTTTGGACAGACTAGATCAACGTTTTGGACCAGGACAACAGGCAGATTTCCATCTAATGGAGCTTCGTCATCGTCGCCAGGGCGAGACTGAAACCCTGCAAGAGCTCGGAGCCAGTGTGATAGAACTTGCAGCATTGGCGTACCCGGAGTTCTCAGACAAGAGTAGAGAGAGACTGGCGAAGGGACACTTCATGGACGCCGTGAAAGACAGAGAAATCAGGGAGGGTATTTTCCGTTCAAAGCCTGCCACCCTTGATGATTCGATCAAGGCGGCGTTGCAAACACAGAGTTTCCTGCAGACAGAGGATCGTAGGACTAGCGATAAGGCTAGGAAGTTTGCTAGAGTACTAGAAGGCAAGGACGAAATTACGATGAAGGAACTGAAGGGAGAGATAAGAGAAACACAGGAGTCCATGGGACAAGCCTTGGGAAAAATCCAGTCGATGCTACAGGATATCAGTAAGGGTAGCCAGGAGAAACAAGTGGGTTATGATTCTGGACCGAGATCTGGAAAGGGATGGAAAGGCAGAACACAGGACGTGTGTTACAACTGCAAAGCCTCGGGACATTTTGCTAGGAACTGTCCTGCACCAAAGAACGACAAGTGTTACAGTTGCAAGGAAAAGGGACATATTGCACGGGACTGTAAAGCACCCAAACGTGAACAAAACGTAGAGTCGGGAAACGACAAACAGCCTTCCCTGGGGTCCAAGGGTGGGCTGACGATTCGAAAGGACCACAAACAATAGGAGGAATACCTCAGGGGATTACACTTCCCTCAAGGGACAAAAGGAAGGGAGGACTTTATGTGAGTGCACGTGTGAGGGGAGCAGATACACTTATGTTAATAGATACAGGGGCGACAGACACAATAATTTCGACGGCGGTATACTACAAGATACCAAAGGAACAGAGGCCAACATTGAGCACGGAGGGAGTAGGACTGTATGGAGCTGACGGTCACTCCATTGAGACGATAGGTGGAGCGTGGTTAGAGGTTCAAGTTGGGAAGACTACCTCCCCAGTGCGGGCGATCTTTGCCAAATTGGAGATGGATGGAATCCTTGGGATGGACTACCTCCTACCGACAAGGGGACGGTTAGATTTTCAGGAGTTAGTCCTTGCCCTGAATGGACAGAAGATTAAATGTGTGAATAAACAGGGCAATAATTTCTGTGCCCGGGTGGTCGTAGGAGAGACCATATCAGTGCCACCAGGGCACGAAGCACTTGTATCAGGGAGAGTGACTCGGAAGTTTACTGGGCTTGGGATAATGGATAATGGAACCTGCGGAGAGTACAGAGTTGACGGCTAAGGGGCTGATTGTTGCTAGGCTTTTGGTAAAGCCCGAGGAAGATAATTTGCCAATAAGGGTTTTCAACCCAGGAAGGAGAGTATGTGTTGTTAGGGCCGGCAGTATGGCTGGTTTGCTTAGTCAGGTGGCGGAAGAGGACGTGCAACCACATCAACCCATACAAGGAGGACGACCTGACCGGTTGCCTGAACATCTGCAGGACTTGTTCAACCGGAGCATCGAGGGAGTGAAGTCCGAGTATCATGCGGAGGTGGCAGGATTACTTACCGAGTTTCAGGATGTATTCTCGAAGGGTAGTGAGGATATTGGACGCACGGAATGCGTAAAACACCATATAACGACAGAGGACAAAAGGCCTATGCGAGAGAGACCCAGGAGATTTCCTCCAGTCGAACAGGAGGAAATTAATCGGCAAGTCCAGGACTTGCTTAAGGACGGAAGGATTGTACCCTCAAGTAGCCCGTGGGCTTCAAACGTAGTGCTCGTCAAAAAGAAGGACGGAAGCAAGCGGTTCTGCGTTGACTATCGGAGACTTAATTCCATAACGATCAAGGATGCCTACCCATTCCCCAGGATTGATGATTCCCTTGATGCGCTTTCTGGGGCCCAGTGGTTTTCTACGCTGGACCTCGCATCTGGCTACTGGCAGGTGGCCCTGGATGAGGAGGCACAGGAGAAATCGGCCTTTGTAGTAAGGGGCGGCCTTTACAGTTGGCGTGTGATGCCTTTCGGGCTATGCAACGCGCCTTCGACGTTTGAGAGACTTATGGAACGAGTATTAAGTGGCCTTCACTGGGAAACACTTTTAGTGTATCTGGACGATGTTATAGTGTTCGGCAAGACTATACTGGAGGAACTCAGTCGACTGAAGGTCGTGTTGCAGCGCCTGAGAGACGCAGGATTAAAGTTAAAGCCTGCTAAGTGTGATCTGTTCAAACAGAAAGTTCGCTACCTCGGTCATGTAGTAACTCCGGAGGGCATTAGCACTGATCCTGATAAGATCAAGGTGGTCAGGGATTGGCCAGTCCCCAAGACAGTAAAGGAAGTTCGCAGCTTTGTAGGACTAGCGTCCTACTACAGGAGGTTTATAGAGGGGTTTTCAGCGGTGGCGAAGCCTTTGCACAGGCTTACGGAAAAACACAGGGATTTCCAGTGGACCAATGAATGTCAGGCATCCTTCGAGGAATTGAAGAGGCGCCTCACGGACTCGCCTGTCCTCACTTACCCGGAACCAGATGGAGAGCTGATACTTGACACAGATGCCAGTGACGCAGGGATAGGAGGGGTCCTAGCACAGAGAAAGGATGGCCAGGAGAGGGTCATAGCCTTTGCTAGTAAAGTGTTGAAAAAGGCAGAACAAAATTACTGCGTCACCAGGAGAGAATTGCTGGCGGTGGTGACGTTCTTAAGGCACTTCCGACCGTATATCTATGGACGAAGAATCACAGTGAGGACAGACCATGGAGCCTTAAGGTGGCTCATTAACTTCAGGGAGCCTGCAGGCCAAGTAGCACGATGGCTACAGTTAATCGGGGAGTATAATTTCGAAATCATCCATAGAGCGGGGAAAGCTCATCAGAACGCGGACAGTCTATCCCGTCGACCCTGTTCCCAGTGCGGGATGGGCGAGTGGGACACCAGTAGAGATGAGGAAACCATATGGAAGGAAAGGGGTAGAGCTCCTTTGACATCACTGAAGGGAGGAGAAACCACCTTAAGTGATGGAGGCGCTCAGGCAGACGTGAAGGAGGGCGTAGCAGAGGTATGTGCGGTTGGAGTGTTGCCAGAGGTAACATTGGAAGACTGGAGGAAAGCTCAACTTAGAGAAAGCTCCATGGAGTGGGTAATCAGAGCTAAGGAGGCAGAAAGACCTCGTCCAGATTGGGAGACACTGTCCGTGACATCTAGCGCAAATAAGAACTATTGGTTGCGATGGGAACAATTATCTGTTCGGGACGGCGTCTTACAGCGCCGCTGGGAGTCTGATAGTGGCAAGGAGGTTCAGTGGCAAACGTTGGTACCGCAGGATTTCCGACAAAAGATACTGCATGAGCTTCATGCAGGGAGACTGAGTGGACACTTAGGCACCAAACGGACCATGGCAAAGGTGCGCACCAAATTCTATTGGAAAGGGATGGGTGCGGACATAAGGTCTTTCATTCGGGAGTGTGATGTGTGCGCTAGGAGGAAGTCGCCCAACAAGAAGAGAAGAGCGCCCGTACAGCAACACCTAGTGGGAATTCCAATGGAGCGGGTGGCAATGGACATAACAGGACCCTTCCCAGTGACAAGAAATGGCAACCGATATATACTAGTGATTGGGGACTACTTCAGCAAGTGGTTTGAGGCATACCCCATTCCTGATGAGAAGGCAGCGACTGTCGCGGACAGGTTTATCAAGGAATTCGTGTGCAGGTATGGAGTCCCCAAAACACTGCATACCGACCAAGGGAGAAATTTCGAGTCAAGGCTGATAGCTGAGGTGTGTAGGATGCTCGGGGTTGAGAAGACCAGGACCACTCCCTACAACCCGAAGTCCGACGGGATGGTCGAGAGATTTAATCGGACCCTGGTTAATATCGTGGCCATGCTCATGAAGGAGCACAAAAATAACAAAGACTGGGATGAGGAGTTGCCATATGCAACGGCTGCGTACCGAAGCACACCACAGGAATCCACGGGGGAAACTCCGAATATGTTAATGCTCGGGAGGGAAGTCTCTCTGCCCCTTGATTTAACAATGGAGGATCCTCCTGCAGGAGATACAGAAGAGATGAAGGAACCGGACTATGCCAAAGTGGTGCGTAGGAGAATGCAGGGCGCACATGACAGGGCTAGAAAACACTTGAAGAAAAGTGCAAGGCGTCAGAAACTCAACTATGACAAGGGCACAATCCAGGGCAACTTTGCTGTAGGCATGTTTGCGTGGTTGTTCAACCCGGCGAAGAAAAAGGGAGTGTCGCCAAAGTTAATGTGTAGGTGGGAGGGGCCCTACCTTGTAGTGAACAGGCTGTCAGACGTAACCTTAAGGATTCAGCGGAAGCCGGGGGCAAAAATGAAGGTTATCCACTGTGACCGCCTTAAGCCGTACCAAGGCACGCCTTTGAAGTCTTGGATATTAGAGACGGGCGGCAGGGGACAGGAAGCGCAGCAGCAACCTGCAGGAGATATTCCTGAGAGAGAGGAAGCTCAGATAGAAGTAGATAGTAGCCCAGTGGAACTGAGCCAGACTTTAGTACCAGAGATACAGTGTGATCGGGAAGCACCTGAAGGTGCAGGCAATGCAGGATCTGACCTAGAACCTGCACCCCTGAACATGACACATGTAATACCTGCACAGGCGAGGAGGAATCCTTTGCGCCAGCGACGGCAGCCACAGCGCTATCTGTAAATAGTTCAGGAATCTAAGGGAGATCGATTAGTTCTAGGACTACTTAAGAAGTTGGGTAGCTACAGTGAAGTAACTGTTGTTTCGTTTTGTTTCTTTTGCTTTCTTTAAAGGAGGATGGAGGATCCCAAGGCAGGTTGGAAGAAGCCAAAGGACTGGAGTACCTTGAAGGTATATGCATGCTCTGAGTGTGAAGACACATTCATCAGTAAGAGGAGCCTGGACAACCATCTCGGAACTCACAACAAGAAGAAGAGCCTCCTATACTTCTGCAAAAGATGCGACAGGAGATACGGGAGGAAGGACAACCTTAGAGTGCACTATCACAATCACCACCCCGCAGGAATGGATGACCTGAAAAGCGTATACCCTGAGACGGAAGAGGAAAGAAAAGCAGCAAAGCAGTCTGAAGACTCGGATGAGGTACCAAGTACTTCTTCTGCCCCCTCCGGACGGAAGAGGAAGAGACCCGAGACTGCAACCGTCGACAGACCGGCAAAGGAGGGCCGGAAGAAGGAAGAGAAACGAGCAATGAGGTCAGGTGAACCTGAAGAAGAGACGAGTCTTGTTGCTGCCCCCTCGGGAGAAAAGGGGATGGGAACGGAAGCTAAGAGTGTTGATGAGCCACCGAGGGAACCGCAGAAGAAGGAGGCCGAGGAGGAAGAAACTCAGGTCCCCTTGACACCTGGCAGGGAGTTAGAGATAGATGATGTGGCTGGGATATCCTTGTCACCAGCTTCCGTGTCTCTGCTCGACAGTGTGGAGCCGCGACGCAGGATGGTATATGGAGGGAAACCACAAGGGATGATGTCAATGAGGCAGGATAGCCAGGCAGAAGCTAGCGACGGGGAGGAAACAGACCTCAACGACGACGCCTCTATTTCTGTTAACCTTGGGCGAGCACTTCAGGGAAGCTCTCTACGGTATCAGGAGGGGGATCTTCGGAAACGCACCTTTCCACCTGCCACAGATATTCAGCACGGGCAGGCCAAAACGTCAGCACTGGAGGAACCACCACGAGCCAGAGTATGCAGGGTCAGTAGTGGCAACCCTGGGTGGCGACGGGCGACTCCGATCGATACTGCTGATCTGGAAGTGATGATGGCCGGGAATGTTCGTCAAGTGAAGGAGGTCAGCACCAGGAGCCAGTTTCAGAATGGGTTGAAGGTATCTGAAGAGGTCGTAGAGAGGACCTACGATGTGGAGTTTACGGCCGGTTTCATCCTCAAGTAGAGTTTAGGTTTTCTCAAGGTTTAACATTGTTGTTTTAACTTAAAGCATTACTTGTTTCTAACTTAGTTTTGGAACAGTGTAAAAGTTTTATAAGAGAGTATATTTGTTAAAAAAAGAGACCGATCTTGCCTTCATTAGCTACCGCATTCCCTTAAGGAATACTGTATTTATTGATGATCTTTGTGTAAACTCCCTCAAGGAGCAGGGTAATTACTTTTGATTATATAGACGTCCTTGAGGTATGTTGTGATTGTATTTCATGTGTATAAACTCCCTGAAGGAGAAAGTGGATCCTTGTCTATTTTTGATAAAGCCGTATCAGGTGTGATTTGTTTTGGACACTCCCTTAAGGAGCTCCCTTAAGGAACCTCAGAATCTTACCTTTCTTTAAATTTTCCTTAAGGAGACCACAGTAGCCTTAAAGGTAAAGGTGCTTATTTGTGTATAAGTGAACTTTATATTTTCATTGTATAAGATGGCACCTCAGTTAATTTCGTTTTGGTTGTTTTTCAGTTTAACGGACCGGGACGGTCCGAACTTAAGGTTGGGGCTGTGTAACGAAATTGGCCTGAGTGCTTGTAGCTTTCGCGCGTCATAGCGCTGAGGCGTGCCATACTTGCTGAGCATGCGCAGTGGGCTGCTTAGGTGACCTTGAGCTGTTTGCGCGCGCTGTGCCTCGTGTGTGTACGTGGCGAGAGTTGCTGTGGAGCTAGCGGACTGAAGAGACGTGTGACGGCGGAGCTCTAAGAGAGTTGTTGTAGGGCGCTAGGCTTGTGTGCGTCAGCGTTGCTGTTGGTGTGTAGTGGGAGCTGGTAGCAGCGAGGCGGAGCGGTATAGCGACCGACCGCCGGATCCCAGAGCAGCGTGAGAGAGGCTGATCGGAGTGTCCGAGACAGCGGGACTGTCGGAGCCGTGTCAGAGAGTCCGTGGCGGCGGCGGTTTGCCGAATCTAGTTGCAGCAGCTCATAGCGCGGGGTATGTCAAGCTGACGTATTTGATAAAGTTAGTGACGAGCACAGTTCAGGACCGATATTGTTGAACCTCCCCACAAGTTATCACATTCAGTAATAATTTCTATTAAGTGCCTTCAGTAATAAACCTCTCTATCAGTAATTCTAAGGCTCAGTAGGAAACTCGATTATATCCCTTAAGGATACAGGAAACCCTTAAGGAACCTCAAGGCTATACCTTAAGGAACAGCAATCCCTTAAGGAATCTGCAACTTAACTGAAGTGATTAAGGCGTCTTAGTTATAATAAAGGGAAAACCCCGCGGCTCTTGAGTGATCTCTCTTTGTCAGATTATTGGGTTCCTGCGCTGCTCTGCCTGGTATTTATCTCCGCTCCATAGGGTCCCCGGGAAAAAGTGTTGCGCGCGGCGATATATGGTTGCCAAACGACCTCCCCCACAGTGCTGTAGGGCTGCCGCTCGCCTGTGCAGTACCGAGTCAAACTTGACCCGGACGGGATTCGCCACAATATCATCAATGTAGTTGATAATTAGGTCAAGTGGTGCCAAATAAAATGATCTTGTTCTATGGAAATGAGCCAGGAAACATTGTTTGATTGCAAAATACAAGTGCTGTATATCATATGTCAGTAGTAAATTATTAATGTTGAGCTGTATATGGAGTTGTATGCACATGTACATGTATGTGTATATTTTCCTTGGGTAAGAAGCATTTGTGCATCTTTCAATATGGGATTCTTGGTTAATTCTTTGGTATTTGACCCTGACAGATTGAAATGATATTTTGGTGTAATGTTTGGCCAGGACATATGAGTAATGTCCAGGATTGGTTTTTTTTTGTTCATATATGAGTGGATTGTATATTTAGAAGTGGAATTGATTGTGTTTCATGTATACATACATGTACATGTACTTACTGTTTTTGCTTGGCCTTCCAGGCTGATTCTTCTGTTTATTGGCATGGTCTTGGCCTCGTCGATATTTGTTTGTGGTGCATTGAAGAAGCTTTCCTCGATGCTGTTGTCAGTTGGGAACGAGTTAGTTGTGAATATCTGTGTTTAATAATAAGAATAGAAGTGACATATTAACTAGCATCTGTCTTGTATTGAAAAAAAGATTTGTATAGATTCAACGGTTGTTTAGAGTGTACGGCGAAGTAAAAAAAAAAACATGTTTAGCATCCCCGCCCGCTTCCTTTTTAGAGGCCGCCTCCTTTTTTCTTTTTTTTTAAAGACAAAAATTGATAAATTGTAACGATCTCTGACGAAAGAAATCGTATTTTTAGACTTTTATACCGTGTATAAAGCTGTGGAAATAGTCAATGAGTTCAAGTGGCGGCCATTTTGAAAAAAGCTGGTTACCATCTTGAAAAATAGCCCGGCCGCGTTGTCTTGAAAAATGTGTCGGGCGGCCACTTTGAAAAGAAAAAAAAAAAAAAAAAAGGGCCTCCTCCTTCCTTTTTGTCAAAGAGGCAGGACGCTAAACATGTTTTTTTTTTATTTTGCCTAATATTAATGTCTTACCTTGGACTTCTGATGGAGCTTTATTTTTGTTTTGTTTGTTTCCTCCGTAACATTATACTGAGTTATCTTCAGGTATTTTCCTGGTGTGAGCTTTGATTGAAGACGATCCAAATCATCGAAGATCAGAAGTTCGACTATGTGGTTCTTTGATGTAATACCATGAGCAATCATCGAATGGCCTTTCGGTGTCGGCGATGTCAGAATTTTTATATCTATGGATGACATCTGGTTTTGGAGAAAACAGAATGATCATTACAAGGTTGAACATGGAGAGCAATGATGTTAATGCACCTATTTTACATGTACATGTATGTTCTGTCTTGGAATGCTACTAAAGCAAAAAAAACCTTCAAAGTAAGTGTGAATGTGAAAATCAAAATTTGGCAAAGTCGATACGTTTTTGTACATGTGGATGTGTGGCCTATGTTTACGGAGGCAGTCCAGTAAATATGCCACATTTATGGGGCTAGCCTATGCTTAGCAAGAGAAGCATGGCAAGGTTGCTAAGGAATCGTTAGCAATTTTTGGTTAGGCCTACCGTTTCCACTATAGATAACATGCTGGCATGGCTACTGGCTAGTACTCACAATTACAAAAATGACAAAAGGATTAGGCCTATGATGTTAGAAATATTTACCTTTCTGTATTGATGGATTGTCAAGGTACAGATGGAGGTCAAAATACACAAACAGGTTTGCACTTGCACTTTGTACAGTACACGCGAGCGGCCGGATATGGCTGGCCTGGCCCTGGGAAAGGACGCCCTCAATTAGGTTAAGTTCGATCATAGTCTGGTTCCCAGACCTGTAAATTATTCCCGACGCTTTCGTCTGAAATGTCTGTGTACATGTATATATGGGGATCAATGGTCAGGCAGCCTCCGTGGCTAAAAATAAATATGACGACATTAATGGCCACTTTTTTAAAGCGCGGCTTCGTTTTCGATTTTGCTTTATCACTTGTAGCTTTTAATTTCTGATAAAATCTTTAAAATAAATCACTTGCTTCGTATTATCATACTGAGATGATTTTTAGGAGAAATTTCCATCTGAAGATGATCACCCCTGAAAATAGTCCTGAAGCCCATCGCCATTTTGAAAAACAATGCCTACACATTAAAACGTGTACAAAACATATGGGGAAAAATGCATCTTTAATGTCACGTAACCCGACACGAGATGACGTGACGATCACGAATTTCTTCTAGGACCATTTGTGGGTAGTGATCTCAGTATGTACCAAGTCCGAAGACCATCAGATTTACGACAGTGCCCAAAGTGGAATGTTTCAAAACGTGTACAAAACAAATGGGGGAAAATGCATCTTTAATGTGACGTAACCCGACACCTGAAGACGTCACGATCACAAATTTCTTCTAGGACCATCTGTGGGTGGTGGTCTAAGTGTGTGCCAAGTCTGAAGTCGATGGCATTTACGAAAATGCCAAAGTGTATGGATAAAAGAAAAACGTGTACAAAACATATGACAAAAGTGGACAAATAGGAAAAAAAAATAGAAATGTGTTCGTGGACAAACACAAGCTGTTTCGGATATTTGAAATATTCTGTGCATATCATGAACACTTGATGACGTCACTTTAAATGTTATCTATAACACAGCACATTATACGTACATATCAAGTTACGTACAGCCAAATCGAACATATAGACCTTTAATAGAAAAAAATATGCCCCTTTAATGGGCGTCACATGATATGTAGTGACGTCACTTCAACTTTCATCTGTAATACATCCCTGTATATGTGCATTATCCACCCAATCGGACTTGTACGTCAGAAGTGATATTTCCGCCATGACGGATGCTTTGACCCGAAAGCAATAACCTCCGCCATGACGATGGTGGCAAAGTCGATTATGCTTGCCAGGATTTTTTTTCATTTGATCTTTCAATAGGGGAAAAATGTTCAAACCTTTCTCACAGTCCCTTGAAGGTTTTTCTTTTCTTTTAAAAGTTGCATTGACGTTGCAAGCATTCTGTACTCAATATTAACAATTAGCAAACCAGTCATGCTTTACGCCAATTCCGGTGTAGTTTCGTGTTAATTGAAAAGAAAAACTATTCTTGCTTTACACCGGCTGTGCATGATTTTCCTTATAAAAACTCTGTAGACCGATAAAGTGCCTATTATTGCCCCAAACTTGCCATCTACCGATCATAACCATAAAGATACATTTGGTCTTTTAGTGTTTCATATTTGCCATTCCTTGTAACAAACAAAATACACTGCAAATCGAGAGCCACATCGTTTGGTGAGTTAAAACTATATGAATACTTGTCTGCTTCAAGAAATTCGTCCGCTTCCAGGGGAACTATTTGTTTTTACTTAACCCCCCCCCCCAAAAAAATTTTTTTCGGGTTTTATATGTTTCAGTATACACCAGTATATTTCATCACAGTGCATCCAGAATCCAACTTTTTCTGGGGCCTTAAAGCGGGCCCCTGGCCCTGTGGCCCCACGCCGTAAGGGCTCGGAAAATAAAACAAAACATACACGACGGCATTCACTAAATGTAAGAAAGCAGTCTTGCAACAATAATATTTACATGCGATGTCATTCGTAATCATACATATAAAATCTTTTTCCAGAATTAAATGGAACCAAAAATGGAGATAAAAATACAGGGTTCTCCACTTTTCAGTACAGTTAAACGTTTTAAGAGGAACAGAATATTCTAAACAAAATAATAAAATAAATAATTTTTATAATTTTAAAAAACTTTTGCTAAAAAAGTCAAAGGAAAGAGGCCAAGAATCGCCTCAGATTGCACCACAGAGCATCCATATTCCAAATTGACCCAAAACGTAAGGGCTTTGCGGTCCACTTCCGTATTAATTCTGTCCGTCCTTTATAAATTCCAGCACCCCCTGACAAGCTTGTTCCAGCGGCAGTGCCCCTCCCCATATGCGTTCGACGTCATCATCTGCATGCGGTTGCGCTATAGTGGTCTAGTAATTAGTGTCTGACGAGTCTAAAGTCAATCAGACATATGAAAGTGCCAGTAGGCATATTTTTCGGGAAAATATTTTATTTCCCTCAAAAAGCGTCAGGTACGAACATGACCGTAACGAGGGGAGCTGGGCGCTGATGACTGCCTTGGTGTTAATTTTGTCTGAATTCCAAGCCCGTAGTATGGCTGGCGCCCTCTATCAAGACAGAAGGTGCATTGACCCCGATCTCAGAATGGAGCCCGTTGGATGGAATGGTATCGCGGCTCTAGAAAGCGTTTGGCCGTGCTGTATCAACAAGGTGCACCAGACTATTAGCTACACGGTAAGAATGCTGCACGGTACTTAATAGAATAGAGACAATTTTTTTGTGTATTTTTATTCGAATATGTACATTTGCGTGTAGGTTTGTTTTTAATATTTGGAATTGATAAGGGTGATTTTATAAGTCAATATATCAGGTGTGATATGGTGGCGAATTTCGATGAATATGTGAACCGAAGTGGGGGGAGCTCGAGTCGCGAGACGTGCTACTGCTAGTGGCTACTATTATTACTGGGCCAATGTACATGTACATACTGTACATAATGTACATCATCACATGGTGTACTGAGTGTGAGCATGCTGAGTGCAGTGGAGCACTGCAACTGCAGTACCCTCTATACTCTAGTGCTTTACTTTGAATAGACATAGGCCTACTTCTATATGTTAAGCAGTATTTAGGGAAAGATTCCCATGTCTAGTCTGGACGTCACTTGTCATGCTTGTCACCCTGTCTGTGCACAAACCAGTTGTATGAGACTGGTCTTAAAATTGGTAAATTTGTGTTTTCTCACTCAGTAAAGTTCAATATTTTCCCAGCTTGTAGTTGTACATGTACTTCTAAGTTCTAGTGCCAAATTTGACTTTTTAGTTTTTAGGACATATTATCACTTTCTGATGGCTGATAGGTTATTGAAGGGAAGAATTAGGGATAGGACTTTACCAAGAATTAGTAATGGGCAGATATGGGAATCTTTCTGTGTTTACAAACTGACATAGTTGGGACTAGATTACTTGGAAAAGCCATACTCCAGCCCACCCGTGTGTGAACTTGGATAAATATTGTATTTGGGTACAATTGTATTTTTTTCTGGATTAATTTTAAAAAAAAGTGGTGCTACCCCCAAATAGTACAAAGTGCATTAAATGATATTTTGTTTGAGTGAACATGGAAACTGGGAAATGTTGCGTACTTGCATGTAATATAAAGCAAGAGAAATTCCCTTCCCCAAGATGTGCAGCTTGGAAATAGTACTGTGTTTTAAAGAACTGGGGAAAAAACGCCTTTTATTGCAATTACCCAGAAATTGTTTGATATATTGATAACTAATACTTTGGAGTGAGGGTTGACTAGTTAATGGAAGACAGAGTCAAAGGAATAACTAAGGGATGGTGGGAGGGGGAATGCCTTTTAAGTTCTATTTGATTACTATGCCCTGTGGGCGTATCTGCCATCCCATTGAATATCTTGTATTAAATAAAAGAACATGTTAAGTGCCTTCCAGTGTACCCCCTCCCATTTAAAAAATGTACTCCTCAGCAGTTCAACTCTAGTTATGCCTATGCATGGAGAAAATAATAAACTTGAGGCACAATGACATGATAAAACTTTAATTATAAACAGTCAATTCTTGTTAATTTACATAGTAGTGTTGGAAAATTTGGAAAATAAAGTCCCTTTGCCTGGCCTGAAATATTGTACTTCTACGGCTTGTCATGTTGATGGGGTCAATCATGTGTATCATGTATAATGTGTATTATGTACACATACATGAACATGGTCAGTACATGTACATGTACATGTAAATGCATTTACGTGTAAGTAGGTGTACATGTACACCTTCACAGTCAGACCTCAAGGGAACAGGCTCAAAATTTGACAGAAGCAGAGTTTTGAGTTAAGCAGGGTTGCATATCATTATTATACTCCTGGGGGCAATGGACTCAAATTTGTTTGAGTAAACAGTTATCGGAGTTTGACTTATGGGGATGTCACTGTACTTTGAAGTGCGTTTTTTTATCATAATGGAAAAGTGTGTGGGGGGGGGGGAGAGCAGATGATTCAATGGCCCATCCCCCTGGTAAAAAAAAGGAGGGGGGGATCCCCCATTTACGCCCCCGATGGTGTAAATGGTTACATGTACATGTACATAATACACAGTATGGAGTCTTGCTTGGTCATTGATGTTTAAAGTTCTAATTTAAGGGTGGGGAACGGGACTTGCAAATATAGAGAAAGACATGTTTGAAACAAAAGAGTATTTCTCATTGAAAAAACAACAACTTGGTTAGGTTATTATATGTTTTCTTTTTTCTTCAGAAAATGGTGAAGTTCACGACAGCCGAGAGCCCTCTGCGACGATGCCGTCTGCAAGATGGAGATCCTTTTCCATCATTGTCTGTGTTTTGTTTGCAGTACGTTTGTCATTCCCCTCCTGAGTCATGGTCCATTCGTCACTTGTCACCATCTCCCATTTCCATCTCCTCTTCGCAAATAGTTCCGAGGTTGGTACCTCCTCGGGGACGTCGTCTGTCCATGACTGCTGGACAGTGCGCAAACCAGTTGATTCACAGTGACGTGATTGTACTAGATGCAGTGTCATCAGAACAGATGAGGCAGCGTCCTCTCTGTTCAGGTACAAGGGCCAGCGTACCCGTCAATTGGGTGGATTCTGAGAAAAGGTGCAAACAGTCGGATAAACAGGCAGAAAACAGTCGGGATAAAGAGTATGAACAGAGCATGGCAAAACAGTCTAAAGGAATCAAGCAGTGTCTTGAGAGATATATGAGTTCTATGGCCAGCGTGCCTGTTAACAGCTTAGCTGGAGACTATGAACAGAGTGTGGTGATACCAGTTGGACATTTGAAGAACCTGAACCGTGGTACAAGAGCAAAGGTATGTGAACTGAGACGAAGAAGAATTCACAAGCTGACCAGGAAGAGGGTTTGTAATCAGCGAGCTATGAAATGGCTGAGTAGTTTGCTAAAGAAGAAGCCCTGTGCAAGAGGTAACACTGGAAAAGATGTATGTGATGGGTCTGGCAAGGGATCAAGAAAGAAGCAGGTAAAAGTTAGTAGAAAGAAAGTAAGAAGAGAAATCTGCAAAGAATCGTACAATAGAAGGAGAAATGGGAAAGTGATTGAATTGTGGTTGAGCAAGGAAGAAAGGCAAGTCCATGAAAAGGTTCAGAAGAAAATATTCTGCCAAACAAAACGAAGTGTTTCGCTAATCATAAAGAAGATGCAGGTTGTGAGAAATGGAGAAAAAAAAAGTATGAAAAGGAAGACAAGTGGAAATTGTATGACAAATGTAAAGGGGTGTGTCAATCACAGTGATACCTTCAGACAAAAGGAAATGAATGTAAGCATGTCAAGAAAGGCAAAAGTAATGAACTCAGAAGTACATGATGGAAATAAGGAGAGGGTATGTAAAAGAAGGACAATGCAGATTACACACATGGATCATGATAAACAGTGCTGGTTGTGTGATGAGAAGATTGATTCAGCTGACAATAAAGTGCAATGTGATGGCTGTAGCCTTTGGTATCATGTCAAGTGTATGAATTTCTTGAAGATGGAACAGTTGTTGGCAAACAAATCAGTGACATGGGTGTGTCTAAAATGTGGTAAGAGCACTTACTCTCAGTCTCTTTTGTATGATCTTGGTATTCCAACAGATGACAATATGTTTGATTTGACAGTTCAGGAGACATGCACCAGTGATGATGTGGTCAATCAGAGCCCTGTGAGAGGAATGTGCACAAAGGACAGCATCCAGGACAATGAAACAAAAATCGTAAGTGATACAAAACGAAAGGAACAAAGTACAGGTTGTATGATAGAAGTGTTGTTGCCAAAGCAGACAGGTGGTTACTCACTAAGGAGCAAAAAAGGCCAGTCTCCAAAAGTAGATGATGCAGGTGAAAATAAAACAAAGACCTCCAAAACTGTTGAAAGAGGAAGTAGAAAATGTAGAAGAAATGAAAAGTTTGAAGACTGTGCTGGCCTAGACAGTAATACTGATAAGCAAGGTTGTGAATTGAAGAATATTCAAGGAGATGATGATATGAGATCTGAAACCAGACAGAAAAGATCCTATGTAGTTGGAAACAGGAAACGGCAGCTGTCACCTATCACTGAAAGCTGTGAAATGAAATGTAAAGAAAAGAAGGTGGTACATGAAATGTTAGAGGAGCATGATGTCAAAAGTAAAATGCCACATGCAATGTGCAAGTCAGTGAGTACCAAACAGAAAGAAATAAGTCATGAGGGTATAGATGGTAGTAGGCAAAGGAGTTGCAGTGATATTGCAGGAGTTGGGAACCATAATAGATTGGCAACAAAGACTATACAGGGAAGCTTTCATCAAGGTCATCATAGATTTGGATGGAGTTCAGGGAAACAATGCATTCCGAACAGTTTGTGCTGTGTCTTGTACAGTAAAGTCAAGCAGTTGAAAGACTGGTGTCGTAGTGATGTTGATACTGCACTAAATACTGGAAATGAGTTATACAGACATTTATCTCGGAGTTCTACAATGAATAATCAATACTTGTTGATAAATGAATTGCCAAATGAATTGGATTTGCTCAATCATCATTTCAGTATGAGGTTTCATGATCCTGTATGTGGTACATTAGGAGAAGAGTGTAATTTAGCTGAATTTCACATGGTGCCCATGAATCGTGCCTTAGAACAGACTCTTCAGCAGTACTATGCATGTTTCATAACCTTCCATGGAAATACATTTGTTGCAATTGCTCAAGATCGAATGTTTTATGTCTTTGATTCGCACTCTAGAAATCAGCATAAATTTCTCAAGCCTATTCGTGGTACACCCCCATACTGGCAAGAAGCACAGAAAGATGTTTTGGCTATGATCAGACAGTTAGGAATACCAACATGGTTTTGTTCGTTTTCTGCAGCAGATATGCGGTGGCCTGAGGTAATCAATACAATTTTGAGACAGCAAGGTGATTCTAGAGATGTAGAAGGTTTGGACTGGAATGAGAAATGTACCATATTGCGAAGTAATCCTGTAACTGCTGCGAGAATGTTTGATCAGCGATTCCGTACCTTTCTGAGAGATGTTATACTGTCCAGAGCTGAACCGATAGGAAAAGTCATAGACTATTTTTACAGAGTAGAATTTCAACAAAGAGGGTCGCCCCATACACATTGTCTTTTCTGGATTGAAAATGCACCCAAGTTGGCAGATGACAGTGAAAGAGAGGTTGTACAGTTTGTTGACAAATATATAAGTTGTAAATTACCATCAAAGGACAAGGATGAAGAATTACGTGAAATTATTAGTCACGTACAGTTGCATAGCAGAAAACACTCCAAGTCATGTAAAAAGAAGGGTACTGAGTGTAGGTTTAATTTTCCAAGACCTCCATCTGAACGAACATTCATTACTGAGCCCATGCCAACAGACGATGAGGATGAAACTAATGGTGAAAGCAGTGAAAGAAGTAAAGCTAAGGAATTGCTGCAATTAATATGGACTGCAATACAGAGAACTGAGAATGAACACATGACAACCAATGAATTGTTTGCAAGTATAAAGCTGACACAAAGTGATTTTGAAAAAGCTAATGATGTATTAAGTTGCAAAGCCAGTTTGGTTCATAAGAGACAGCCACAAGATGTATGGGTTAATTTGTACAATCCAGATTTGATAAGATGTTGGAATGCAAACATGGATATTCAGTATATGTGTGATGCCTATGCTTGTGTTGCTTACGTGGTATCGTATATGTCCAAAGCTGAACGTGAAATGGGTATGCTGTTGTCACATGCTCAGGCAGAGGCTCAGAAAGGAAATTTGGATGCAAGACAGAGCATGAAGGAAATTGGCTGTGTGTATTTGCATAATCGTGAAGTATCAGCACAAGAAGCAGTTTACCGTGTCTGTAATCTGAGATTGAAAGAAGGATCAAGGAAAGTGGAATTCATACCTGTCGGTGAAAATCCAATTAGAATGAGTAAGCCTCTGAGTGTTATTCAAAGTACATGTGATGAAGATGATAATATTTGGATGACTAGTAGAGTTGATAGGTACCTAGCAAGACCAAATACTGATAAATTTGAAACAATGTGCTTGGCAACATTTTGCTCAGATTATAGAGTTATATATACAAACATGGCTAAAACAACTCGTTCACCAGTATATGAATTGAAGAATGGTTTAGGCCACATACAGAAACGAAGTCGAACTGATCCAGCTGTTATACGATTTCCTAGATTTTCATTAGCAAAATGTCCTGAAAAGTACTACCAGAGCATACTACAGTTGTACCTTCCATATCGCGTTGATGCCCAGCTAAAACCGCAACAGTTTGAAACATATGAGGAATTTTATAGAAATGGCATTATTAAGTTTGGTGGTATGTTGAAATCTGTGAGAATTATTGTTGAAAGTAACCAGTCATTGTATGAAGCTAATGCTAAGGCAGTAGATGAAGCTGAGGAAATGCTGGAGAAGTTTGGTCCACAAGAAGATGCTTGGGCATTGATAGCTCCAGAAACTGAAAAAGACAGACTTGAATGTGAAGGACAGCAACAAGCACAAGTGGATGAGAGTGACAATGAGTCAGATATTCCTGATCTGAAATCTAAGAAAGATGATGAAATGAAATATACTATAGAACCACACAGATTAAATGTATCCAAACAAGAAGCAATGAATTTGTTGAGGTGTCTGAATGCTAAACAAAAACAGGTTTTTTTTACAAAGTTAGACAGTGGTGTTTGGACAAAGTGAATGGTAAAAATCCGGAACCATTCCATGTATTCGTCACTGGTGGGGCAGGCACAGGGAAAAGCCATTTGATTAAATGTATTTATTACGAGGCAACAAGACTTTTTGGAAGAATGGTAGAAAATCCAGACGACATCTCAGTGTTGCTTACTGCGCCTACAGGTGTTGCTGCATATAATATACATGGTGCAACAATTCACAGTGCTTTGTCAATAACAACAAATGTCAGATTGCCATATCAACCACTGAGTGAGGAAAAGATCAGTACACTGCGACATAAATTAAGGCAACTACAAATTCTGATTGTTGATGAAATTTCAATGGTGGGTCATAAACTTTTGTGCTATGTCCATGGCCGTCTGCGACAGATAAAACAGTCAAGGAATCATAGTCCTTTTGGAAATGTCAGTGTATTAGCCGTTGGTGATTTTTATCAGTTACCCCCAGTAAAAGCAAAATCTTTGTACCAGACTGATGTTACAACTGACTTGTGGAATGATAATTTTGTCAAAGTAGAACTGACTGAGATAATGAGACAAAAGGATGATGCACAGTTTGCGGAAGTATTGAATAGATTACGAATCAGAAAGAGAAAGGAAAGCTTAGGACCTGATGATAAGAGACTGTTACAATCACGTGAGACTGGAGAAGATTGGACTGATGCTGTGCATATTTATCCTTGCAATAAACAAGTTGATGAGTACAATACACAGACTCTCTTTACTAAGTGTTCAGATTGTGTATGTGTTCTTGCTAAAGATTTCCAGAGAGATGCAAAAAGTGGGAATATGATATCAGTAGTGAAATCACTCAAGAAATCGTCAATGACTAATTTACCTGATTCTTTGTGGCTTGGTGTTGGTGCTAGAGTCATGCTTACAAGGAACCTTGATGTATCTGATGGACTTGTTAATGGAGTATTTGGAATTGTAAATGAAATTGTTGTATTAGCTAATGATCGTGAGCAGTCACCTAAGTTGATTAAGGTAAAATTTGACAATGCGAATATTGGATCAAAATTGAAACAAACTTCTTCGATTAATGATAGAGATGCTGTCGGTATTAAAATGGTTGAAGAAAACTTGAATAAACAGTGTGTCCGACATCAGTTTCCACTCAAGTTAGCTTGGGCATGTACAGCTCACAAGGTTCAGGGTATGAGTTTGGAAAAGGCAGTTGTAAGTTTGAACCGTACATTTTCAGCAGGACAAGCTTATGTTAGTTTGAGTAGAGTTGTTTCACTGAATGGTCTTGTGATAGAAGGGTTTGATGAGAAGTACATTTATTGTAATGAGGCAGTAGCTGAAGCAATGACTAAAATGGCATCGTACATTGAGGAGTCTGATGAAAAGGGAAGCAATAATGTAGGTGATCAAAATGAAATCAAGGGTGATGTATGTTTTAGCACAAGCATTGCTATGCATAATATTCAAGGACTTCAGGCACACGTAATGGATTTAAAAACTAACAATGAAATGTTGTCGTGTGATTTCATTTGCCTGACAGAAACATGGACCGACAGAAACTTTGATTGTGATAAGGATATGAGTGACTATAAATGGTATCATCAGCCAAGAAGTATGTCTTATGATAACTCTAGTCATGTGGCATGTATGTTGAAAGAACAGTGTCATGGCGGTGTAGCTGTGTGTGGCAAAAAGGACAGGGTGTTCAGTAGGATGAATTTGCCAGTCAACAATCTTGAATACATCGCATTTCAGTTACATGTAATTTCAAACAAGTCATTACCAGTAGTTGTTGTTATAGTTTACCGACCACCGTCATATACATTAAAGGAATTTATAAAGGTGCTTGAAATGTTGCTGAATGAGATACACCAGATTTCAAACAATTGCATTGTTATGGGTGATTTTAATGAAGATATCATGAAAAAAGAATCTTGTGTGAAGAAATTGATGGATGATCATGGATATAATCAGTGTGTTAGTGATACAACAACTGAAAAAGGCACTTTACTTGACCATGTTTATGTGAGAAATATAGATTGTATTGATGTTCAAATTA